TAATTTTGTTGAGTGTACTATAATAATAATAATAACAACAACTTTTAATAATAAATACTTCTAATAATAAATACTTCTAGCCGGGCACAAGTGCCCTACTAATCGGGGAGACAAAATACAGTACACATGGTATTTTATGAACTATATGAGGCTATATGGGGATGTGTATGGCAAGTAGGGCTTTCTTCTCCACAAAAAAAAATCTTTACTGCCTTCTCTTCGTTATATCGAATATAAGCTGCAAAGAGAAATAGACCTCTGTAATCCATTTCAGACCATGTGTCATTCCCTAAAGTATCATTGCTTTGTTTTATGGTTGTAAATGAGAAGAATATGATCTTTGTTTATTTATAAGTATGTTTTACATACTGTATTAATTACAAGAATATTTATTAGCACAATTAATTACATATGTGACATATAAATATGGATAAAACAAAAACAAAGAATCCTATTCTCAAAGGAATGACACATGAAATGGGAAAACCTTATGCAATGTCTATTTCTAAGAGAAAGAATAAGGCTTGAGACTTTAAATTATGATACAGTATATATTATAATAATATTGTATACAAACTTGTATTTTCCAAGCCAGCTATCAGCTAGGATGGCTCCCAGTAAAGGACTGAAGTAACACAGCATGTTGAAGGTATGATAAACAGCTGTCGCTGAATCATCATCCATCTTAAGCATGTGTGTGAGATAGATGACCAAAATGGCTGTGGGATAAAACAAGGTTTTCACAGCCATTAAGTGTAATGTATTGATATTATACATGTATACACCTAATTGAAAAAAACGTTGTTGTAACATGTAAAAATGCACAGTAGAGCAAAGTAGGTCGACCTAGATTATAACATGCCAAAGCCATTCTCCGAAGATTTACGCTGGAGAGCTGTTTGGCTGCTTTGTTTTGTTTTCCCATGCTCCCCTTCRGTCTTAGCTTTGATGATATAACCTTTTTTTGAACCCGACAAYGTTTTTTCAAGTAGGTGTATAACRTATTATTATATAGCTTAGATAGTATGTACACTCTGTTTGGTTGAGAAATGTGCTGTGGAGCAATGGAGCATTGCTGCTGATGTCATCCAAGTGCACACTCTACAGGTATGTTTTGCAAAGAATCACAGTGAACCTTTATTAATTATTGGTCACCCTTTGGAAGTAGCCAAATATTGCCTTTTGCCTTGTTACTTTTGACACTCACCGTGCATGCCATAATAAGAGAATCGTTCACAGAACTCATTTCCCAAGATGAACCATACACTAGTTGGATACCCCGTCTTGTCTAATACATTCTAGAACATAACCAAAATTGGAACATAAACCTAATGTTAAACTTTAATCAATATTATATAAACCTTTATCAGATGTGCACATGAGTATACAAGTGAGTGGTTCAGTATTGTACAATATTAGTAAGAGCTACATGTACATGTACTAACAGATCGGCATCCATATTTCATTAATTCCATACAAGTGCCATTCTCAGATCTTCTTGCCTTCAAAAGGAAAGTAATCCATGGCTATTACAATCAAGTTTCTTAAACTCATTAATATTTATCAGGGGTTAAAAAAATATTTGTACTACGATGATTGGAGTTTGGAATTCTAGTCTTATTAACACAAAATATGCTAAACTTYCCTTTTCTCCCATCCTTGGGAACCCAGGGGCAAAGTTCTGTCCCCCTGTTTCTCGCTCCCAGAAAAAAAMCCCCTGGACACTAAGTCTGTTAGAGCTTGTTCCAGAAGTCCGAATTCAAAATAACGCCATCAAATGTATGTTTACATACTTGATGTTCATTGGTGAACCCCAGGGAGTTAACCAATCAGGAAACAGATTAATGTGGACTTCCCGAACAAGCTCTAACAGACTTCATGCCCAGGTGTATTTCTGGGAGAAAGAAAGGAGTGACATAATTTTACCCCTGGGTTCTCGAGGATGCCTTTCTCCAGCACATACCTGTAGAAGTGAAGTCTTCCTTTCACTTCCTTTGTTTTCTATAAATACAAATGAGCATATCACTAACAAGTACATACTTATACACTTTTTGAGATAGGGTGTGGAGTGGGGTACAGATAGACAAAGATATTTGTATTCAAACCAAGGACAAACAGACCCAATATATTAAATGTTGGTCATTTGATAATAATGATACCTAAGGGGGTCAGGTTGACTTTTATGGGTAGAAATCTTGAGTTTAAAACATTTCCCATCCTTGGGGCCAAAAGCTTTAGTTTTGCTAAAAATATCCCCACGTTCATTGCTCAACCTTCTCTACTTGCCACCTGGTTGATTTCAAAGTCCCTGCCATGCATTGCTCCCCCTCCCCTCCCCTTTCCCCTTCCATCAAAAACTCTTTGGCCAAATTATGGGAAATTTGTATAATTAGAAAGAAGGAATTACACCTGCTATTGAATGGAGAATGTAATAGTGGCTTTTGCTGATCAGTACAATTATAAAATGACTATCAAGTTCATTGACAAATTGCTTCAATTAAAGCTAAATTTTGAAGAATCTTGAATCGAATAAGTTTGTTGTTGTGAAATCCAAGACCATGAAATTTATACAAGGAAAATAATTATTTGAATATTGTGATAATGGATATTATGTGGATGAATAAGTTAGAAACATAAGCCAAAAGTAAATGAATTTTCCTAATATCATTAGAAACAAACCTATAAAAATAGATAAAGGAAAAAAATATTTAAAAAATATTCAAAAATATACCAAATCTATTCATAATTTTTTTTTATTAATAAACATTTAATTTAAATCCATCGTCTGTTTTTCAAAAATGTTGGTGTGTCTGGAAGTATATTATTTCATTGATAAGATTAATTTGGTTAATAAATAAAAAAGGATTTTATTGTAGGATATTTTTTCGCTCAAAATCCCAGAATTAAAGTTATATAAGATTAATACCATTTTTTAACATTTAGAATTCAAATCCCGCTTAGACTAGACGGAATATTTTCGATTATAGCTGAGACTGGCGGTTCAAAAACCACAGTAAATTTAAAAATATAATACGAATGACGTCTTGAAAACTAATATCAAAGCTTGAAAACCTCAAAGTGATCATATTTACAACCACTAGCAATACAAGCACGAACTAAGGAATTTACTAGCGAGAACTATTAATTAAATTAGAAGAATAGAACAGGAACAGGAAAAAAAGAGCCAAGTTGCGTTGCCGTTCACAGAGATATAAGCTTCATGATATAAGTAAAAAGCGAGACTTTTAACCCTAGAATCGTAAGCTTATATACCATGATTTTTWAAAAATAAATACGATATTTACACTGTAAGATAATCAAAATATTTTCCCCTTCAGTCGAAGAATCTCCATCACCAAGCGTAACAACAAGGTTGAACACGAAAAATTTTGTAGTTCTCTAGTAGTATCTAAGATATTTTCCCCTTACCTTTCGAGTTATTTTCATCATCTGTGTCGTTTAAAGGAGTATAACCAGCAGACGACATTTTAGTTCGTTTTTTTCTTGACTGGTGGCAAGATTTCTCGGGGTTAAAGTAGTCGTTGTTGACGTCTAAAAGTCAAAACAAGTTCACGCTGCTCGATGATCTTTACCTTCACAGTGAACATTAGATCCCTCATACGGCTAATACCTCGGTCATATCTACACTAAATCGAAACTAAGATCAATAAGACAATGTATCTAGCGGACGAAGCCTGACTAGGATGAATAATAAATGAGAGAAGTACAGTTTTAAGACAGGTACCGAGTACAGAGTGATAAAAGCGATAGCCTTTTCTTGAGATTTGCCTGACCGAGCATCAAAGCAGGTGTGACACAGGAAGCCCACCCTAGAATAAATTATATTTATACTCCCAAAGTACGCTGGGAATCCCAGGAAGCCCATAAAGAATTGTGAAGTTAGGGACCATGGATACACTCGAACGTGCAAACAATTCGCAGATCATCAATAGTTTTGCAGTGTTTTATAACGCTTCTACCATTTAGACACACGAAAATGTAGCCCTGACTTCATTCGGCTAAGTGAAGCAAAATATACGATTTAATTAGTATTGCCGATATATTGAGCAAATATGTATCTGCATTATTATATATTTTTGAAAATAATTGTGTCGCACGTAGCTAGTGCTGAAAATTAACCATTTTCAGCGGTCTTACTACAGGGTGAATACATGAGAGTAGTTAGCATAATAGCTTTACTTCAAACCTGCATCCCGCTCGGAGGGAAGACTATCTTGTTGATCTGTTCCCGTAGCGAATCAGCGAATTCAGTGTATATTCGATGTCTTCAGTTTATATGTTTCTGCAAAACTAACAGGTTAGTCATCAGAACTTTCTACTTGTGGTTCACTACCGAAAGCTACGACAATTCCAGAAGTTGAATTTTGACCGTCAAGTTCAGCACATTTGAGTTATGTCGTAACCTGTTCTTAAATTGACCCTAGTTTCTTTTGCGGCTTATATTAGTTCCACTAGTTATCGTTTATGGCCTTTTCCTTATAAAATACTCCTAGGTCGTGCTCCTAGTGCAATGACGTGTATTTGTCTTTGTCTTTGCTCAGTCATTTCTGTTCTGCAATGGATTTTGTATTGTTATCTAAAAGCCTGCTCATTTATTTTATTTATATTTTGTTTCCCGCTCTTGGATAAGCTTGGAGCAAATGTGAATTGGTTTTTCATCATGTTATTGATTGCTCTCGTTCTTTTTTGTGGCGGACGTGAATTTCGCGGCATTTGTGTTTTCCCATGCCTATTATCGTTATGATTATGATATCTATATAGCCCTCTTTTCCATATGGATATGTTCAAAGGCGCTTAACAATGATTTATGAATAAGAGATGGTTAGTATGAAGTGTATGCACTGAGGATGGTCACTGCCAGGGTTTCTTTACGTCAAGTCAGGGTTTCTTTTGCGTCCCTCCGTTGGTTAGTTATAAGTGTGGAGAGACGGGACTTCCATTTAAAGTGATCATCCAAGCCACTTGAAAGTCTAACCATTTGCAGATGTAATTACAAAGGCAGCACTGATTATATTAAGACCCTAAGTGTTGGTCGAACCACGACCTCCCGCACGAATGTCCGATGCTCAACCAACTGAGCTAACCAATTATTAATATAAGGTTGGCGGTTATTGAGCTGATGTTGCTCTATCTAACGTTTATTGCTTTCCAGTGTTACCCGATCTTGGTTTTGCAGTGGAGATTTGAATTAGCTTTTAATTTTCACTGAGTATGGTTTATATGCCTTTACCCTAAGGCCTCGTCGTGGTCGACCAAATTCATCTAACACTTTTTCAACACGAAGAATACCGTCAGTCCATAGGAAAAAATATCACCTTTTGTTTTAGGGCACGCGGAGTTCGGAAAAAAGCATTAAAAGTTTTATTCAGATAACAAAACATCACAAAACTGATGATCAAATTATACATAAATTCTTCATTTTAAATGTCACTCTCCCTTCTTGATTTGACCTTCAAGCGACGTTAGTTACCTAGCAAATTGTTTACACATTCGAGTGTATCCATGGTGCTTTACTGCATATTTCTTTATGCGCTTTCTGCGCTTCACGAGCCACTAGCTTAATCTCCTTATCTATTTCTCTTTTTGCTTTTTGGTTCAGCCTGTAATTAAATAAATTATCTTTTAACTTTTACAAATATTTTTACAAATAACTATAGTGAATTGGACGTATTCACGACTACAGCGTGTCTGTCTCTTTGCATTAATAATAATAATAATAATAATAATAATAATAATAATAATAATAATAATAAAGCTCTACCAGAATGCAGACTCTACGATGAAAACTGTCCAGATGTTTGAGGAGGGAGCAGCGGAGGAAGGCCAT